AAGTAATCTATAAACAGCCGCAAGCATCTTGCAACTTAAAAGAAATTTGATCGAATAACTGTCATCGGTAGAGTAAACTGCACTTTCACTGAGAAAGATCACTCGGCCAATCGCATATTGGGAATCTTTGAGGTTTTGACAGTCAAACAAAGATGTATGTGTTCACCTGCTTGCATATGTCGTAACTGCCACGGAATATTTTCTTCTCTCCAATTTGCTGGCCGTGTATCTATCATTTCGATCACGTTTAGTTAAGGTTAACAAAAAAAAAAAGGTTAGAGAACTTAAATCAAGAAATTTATTTGAAAAATTGAATCTTTATTACTTATGTGGTGATGTACATGGAAAAAGTGTGAGAAATTGTATCGCACTCGGTGTCTTTTAAAAAGGTAAGTGGTTGCAGTTTTTGCAGCTGTGTCTTTCTGTACGGCCCTTGTTAAATTTTTTAGTTGCCAAGCTTTCAACTTAGAATTTTTTTTTCCGGCGCGATTTTCACAATTGCTTGTAGTTGAAGAGCCTAAAACAGTGGATGTTTGGATTGAGGTTTTTTTTTGGGAGGGGAAGGGGGAGAATTTTGCCATAACGCAATGAAGGGAAATTAGTGGTGAGGATTCTAGAATATTAAGGTGATAAGGAGTGCAATAAATATGTTCTCACGGCTACTGTAGCTCCAGCGCCTTGACAAGGACTGCAAAATTAAAACGGAAACACTAAAGAATTAGCTAGGTAAATTTAAACAGTTATCATTATTTTCAGCCTATTACAGGTTTTCTTAGTTTCTGATATTCTCAGTAGTTCGTATCAATTCAGTTACGTGTAGACCAAAACGTGATCGATAAAAAAAGAAAATTTAAAATTTTGGCGCTGATTCAAGTCACGAACTGGTTGAAGGACAAGTACGCACAAGATCTCTGATGTAAGTTTGGAAAAAAAATAATTAAATATTCGTTCGAGTTGGCGATCTCGCAACTGAGATAAATGCATTAAGGGAGCTTTTGATAAAAATTCTCTATAGTGTTAAATTTATATCTAAAATGGATCCGAAGTGTCCTCGATTTGATTAATGCCACAATTTGCTTTTGGTGTTCATCTTTTTCCTAGCTATCTCTGAACTTAAAAGGAATGAAACGCAGGAATTTATTCTGGCCCAAATTAGGTTTTTTTTTTTGCCGATTTTTGAGAACGTCAGGTTAAAAGTAATGGCAGGAAACATGTATAAGTTGCTTTTTTTCCCTTTTGAATAGTGTAATACCACTAATATACACTGTAGAAGTGGTTTCTCTTAAATCCAACAATGCAAAAGAGCCAAAGCAAAGCGAAGTGAGTTTCGTTTTCATCAACAGTCGCTTTTTCCGGAGTTTACCGGTAAATAATTTTATATTATAGCTTGATCTGTCTTTAGATTTCATCATCAAACACGCACGCAAGTGAATGTTAAAAGTCTTTAGCAGCACGCAATAACTGATAATCTATCACGGGTAAGACGATTAAAAAACTCACCCCACCAGTGACATCGATGTTGAAGTTATTGTTGTTATTGTTGATGTTGTTATTTAGCTTCCATGGTAACAACTAACAGTCAAACAGGGTAAGAGGGGAATTTCAATTTCTAAATTAAGATTCACAGCACGAGGTTTGACTGAAGCTTAAGGCTGTATTTGGTAAAACAAATCTATAATATTGATGTTTTTCCTGGCTTAT